GTTTTGGACAAAGAAGAAAAGATTTCAAGGGCCTCAGAGAAGGCCAGGGTCCTTAGGCCCTCCTGAGTCTACTGACATTTATGTTCTGTGTCACCACAGGGAAGAATCTCAAGAAGCCACCGCCCAAGTCTTACCTGATCCATGCTGGTCTAGAACCCCTGACCTTCACCAATATGTTTCCCAGCTGGGAGCACCGCGAGGACATTGCAGAAATCACGGAGATGGTGAGCACGTGTCCCTGGCACACAGAGGCGGCCCTTCCTTTCGGGTCGTGGGTTGGCTTTACGTTGCGGAAAAGCTCACAATTGTACTTTCCAAGTGGAAAAAATACGTTTTTCTTTTGCGACATATTTACAAGTCTACGTGGAATTAGCTCAGGAAAAGTCAAAGCCTGACAGATAGCCAGCTGAACTGGTTTGATGATTTTCTACCCATTTTCTTTAACGTTTTAACCCAAATGTTAAAAACCTAAAAGCAAAGGGAAATGTTCTTGATTTAGAAGATTATCTGTAAATAAAACCGCTGTCTCTTCATGCTTGGAGCTAAAATCTTATCGCCTGGCACGACTTCCTTCTGAGTTCATCTAATGCATCGCCAGAGCCTCGTGTTTCAGACTTAACCTTGTGTCGAGGAGACACAAAGAAACCTGGGATGAATTCATATTTTCCAATAACTAAACGAATGACTCTGTGGTGACTCACTCATGACAAGACCCGGCTGCACATCTCATTAATATTGTCACCTGGTCTTACCACAGAAAGCATTCATTATAAGTCCTATCTGCCGAAATGTATCATTTTTATCCAGAAGGTTTTGTTTTCCAACGACACAAAAAAAGAAGCTTCAATAGCTATGTGAAATCTATTCCCTTGTAAGTTATGAATATAGCTAGTGACAGCACTTCCAAGGGGTTTTTTTGGTTTGTTTTTTTGGGGGTTTTGTTTTGTTTTGTTTTGTTTTTGGTTTGGCGGGAGATAGCATTTTCCCCCCATTTTGATGTTTGTTAATGTCTCAGAGAATTGCTGCCTGGAAGAAGTGACCTGATTATTTCATAGGAAATCTGGATAATTTTAAACAAAAAATGTCTACTGCTGCTTAACAGAGAGAACCTGTGTTTTATTTTTGTATGTATTTTTTTTAATTGCCCAAGAGCGTGCATGCTTAGCAGAAAAAGAGACAGGAAGAGGGCCAGCAGGTGGTGTGGAGATTATGTGCTGGCTTCTCACGTGGCTGGCAGCGAGATTCCAATTCCAGACCCAGCAGCTTGAAAATCACACTGGGTGTGTGTGCATGTGTGCCCAAACTCCTGAGAGGAGGATGGAGGAGAAGGAATGGCAGCGTGGCCATGCCCCTGGGGGTGGTTTCTCACTTTCTCTCTCTCTCTTGTTCTCTCTAACAAACACATATGCCCTATACCAAAAACTTAAGGAAACAAAAAAAAAGAGAGAGAGAAAAGCACAAAGCACACACACACATGTGCGTGCACACACAACCATGAGGCTCAGTCAGGCCACGATCCTTTATCCTTTATTCCTCAATCTCATTAGGATTTTGGGTGCATGCCCAACATGTTTTCTCAAGCCCCCAACCTGGACTTAGACTGCCGATCGCCACGTGGGATCCAGCTCCCGATGCACAGTGTTCAACCACTGTGCTATGGGGCTGGCCTGGTGAGAGCCTGGCAGTGGAGCAGACGTTCCTGCTCATCCTCACCTGCCCCAACACGGGGTAGGGCTAACCGCCCAGTCTCTGACAGCCACAGCAAGGTGGTTCTGCTCACCATAAATGCAGAGTCACTAAGCCCGAAAGCACTCCGGATTACAAGCACCGTGGCCACCTCCTGCCGTCGGAGTTCCAGGACATAAGTGGCCGTCATTTGTGTTCACTGCAGCTCGTTGGATCGGCAGCGGGTGGGGCGGTGTGTGCAGGCTGCGAGATTCCATCCAGGGTGCACCAGCCAGTTATCCAGTCATTGCAATTTCCCAAAGGCCCCTCTGCACTAGGCACTCCGAGCACTGTACACAGACTTGCTCATTTAATGATCACAGCCATCCATTAAGATTCCTCTTATTAATATGCCCCTTGTACCAGTAGACGCTGAGACACAAAAACAGGAAGTCACTTCCCCAAAGCCTGAGAGTCAGTGAGTGGAGGAGCCAGTGCTCAGATGCAGGCAGGCTCATTCCAACCCCCACGTCTGGACCAGTCTGTCGTGTGTATTGCTGATTTGGAGCAACCACCATCAGTCATTCATTCTGTCCTCCCAGAAGGAAGCCAGCCAGTCTGGAATCCCAAGTTTAATGGGGGGAAGATCATTTTTCTAGAATTAACCTGTTCAAATTAAATGCACATAGTGGTTAAAAAAGAAAGAAAGCAAGCTGAATTCAGCTGCAGAACATTCTAGATGCATATTCGTTCCTTCTTTTTCTATTGTGGATTAAGAAGTGAGGCTGGAGGAGAAAAGGAAGGTATGGGTCTTTTTTTTAAAAAAAATGGAAAATTTTTTTTTGCCATAGGGCACATGTACTTGCCAGAGACAGAGACAAAGTAAGAAATCACCCCCCAGAAGAGATTGCCACCCGGAAATCCCTTCTCTTTCATTCTCCTCTTGGGATTTTGGGCACGCATGCACATGCACATGCACATGGCATGATTTTTGGACTACCCAGTCCAGGGTTTGAACTACAGTTGGCCCTGTGGGAGTCAAGCGCCTTAACCACTATACCGCCTGCTCCTTTCAGGTTACTCTGAGATACTTTTAAGAACCTTACACTATTTGGAGTCTTTGTAGACTTCAGATTCGATCATCTTATTCCATAAGTTGCTCATGAGTGAGTCCCTAACCATTCTCCGAAGGCAGCCCTGAGACAGGCTATATTTGAAACTCTGGTGGCGTGAGGAAACATCTGAATTTAGGGGACCCACACAGAGGGCTTTGGGCTCTCAGTTACATTCCACAGCCCCATTACCTCCTCAGTGGAGTGCAGCTGGGGGTCCCCACCTCTCTGGGCGTGGTGCAGACGGTCCAGGGCTGTGTTTGCAGGGACTTGACAAAACATGCTCTGGTGTGGGGCACTCAGTTCTCGTCTCTGCTCCCCCCACTCTTAGGATACAGAGGTCTCCAACCAGATCACCCTTGTGGAAGACGTCTTAGCCAAGCTCTGTAAGACCGTTTATCCGCTGGCCGATCTCCTAGCCAGGCCACTCCCGGAAGGTGTTGACCCTTTAAAGCTTGAGATTTATCTCACCGATGAAGACTTCGAGGTAGGTGTCTCTGTGGGTGGGATGGTCGTGAAGCGGTACACTGAATAGGGAGCCCCTTCACTCAGCCCTGGCCTGTCTTCCACTCCTCCAGTTTGCCCTTGACATGACGAGAGAGGAGTACCACGCACTGCCCGCCTGGAAGCAGGTGAACCTGAAGAAGTCGAAGGGCCTGTTCTGAGTTGCAGCAGTGCTGGAAGGACCTGCGGTCACGTTCAATGCCATCGGACCAGGGAGATGGGTCTTTTTTTTTTTTTTTTTTTGGACTGGTATTTTTAAACAAGTCTTTTTAAATGGGCGTTTTTCGAAACCTGACTTTGTTAAACTCTACTGCTTGTCCTGGCATTGTGTATTTTGTAAATGTTTAAGAGAACTCTTTGGAAACTTTTTTTCACAATGCAGCAGGTTATGTTAATAAAAGTATCTGTGCACTTAATCAGGATTCCTCAGCAGCTGCTACAGCACTGCCCCTGCTCCAGCTCAGCATCGCCTTGTGTTCTGAAGCAGTTCTCTTTATAAAGTGTTATTTTGATAGTTTGTGGATTCTAAATATATATATATATATTTATATAAACACCATACGAATCAAATATGTATTTAACAAGGCAATATGTATTCATTCACTTTTAAGAATTTTTTTCTTCTTTTTTTGGTGTCAAAACAATATTAAAAGGTAGATGGAGTTGATTCTGTTGAGTTAGCTCTGCCTCCAACACGTACCTTCATACATGTTCAGAACCGTTTCTTTCAGCGTTAGGGATGACTTGTTCCGAGTACTGCTTCCGGTGCTAAAACCAACGAAGGGTTTATACTTAACGGCATGGACTCTGAAGAAGCTATGCGAATCAACCTTTCTACCTTAACGCCACCCCAAAAATGTATAGTGCCTTGTTTTTATGTACAGTTTATATACAGGAGAGTTGCCTCTGCTTTTTTGATGATGGTTTGGAACATTATCGACAGTTTTACTCTCAAATGGTAGAAATAAAAACATCTCGATTTCTAATACCTGTTGTCAACATTACACCTGTCGTTTTGAAATATAGAACTCCAAAATAAAAAGCTTCGGAATAAACACGACAGTGAGCTGATTGGTTCACATTGAATTCCAACTGTGTTTCTTTCTGGAAAAAAAAAATCAGTTTGTTTCTTTTTTTTTTTTTTTTTTTTCCTTTTTTGTGCGTGTTAACTTTGTATCATCAGTATCTCACCTTTAAATGTTAACTTTAGCTCTGAATTTAGTTTTGGGCAAGATTTTGTATGTCAGTAGTTGGAATGAGTAGATGTTTGACCCATAAACTTAGTTCAAAATTCTATGTTGACATATTTTTGCAGATTTTCATGCAGAAGCTCTTTACCTCACAATTATTATCTACATTTCATTTTCAGGATCTCTGTACCTTTTTTAAAAATAAATCGAATGTAGGGAACCAGCAGTTGGCATGGTGGTTAAGGTGCTGGACACTCCCACATGGCCAACCATGGTTTGCGTCCCAAACCTGGTGGCTTGCTTTCCCACTTTCCCTCTCTCTCTCTCTCTGGCCAAATTAAAATAAATGAATGAATAAATAAAGTTAAATAATTCTTAAGGAAATAAATTGAATGTATAAGGCATCTAAAAGCTTAAACTTGCTTAGAAAATGCTTCTCAAGTTTATGCCTTCTTGAGTTACCAAATCCTTGGTTTGAACACATTCTACAGATGTACTAGGAATTGTTACCCCTCTCCCCACTCCCCTCCCTATTAGTCTAAGTTTAATATATTAAGTTGTCAGAGAAGTCATAACATATTTTTTTTGTTTTTCTATGCAAAAAAATGCTTGACTTCTCCGACAGCCCAATATTTGTTAGTAGCACATTTGCTTAAACGTTGTAACTTACTCATGTGCCCCCCCACACACCAACTGCACCAGCGTGGGGGGTCCTGGTCCTTCCATTTCATGCTGGTGTGATGTTGAGCAGTCACTGAGTAACTGCCTCCGTTTCCTTAAAAAAGGAAGCAACACCAGCTATCGTGCCTACCTCCCAGGGTTCTGGGCAGAGGTCAAGGGAAGCGCTTTGGCGGTTGTCGAGTTCTGGATACCTGCCGGCATTTGCATTACTGCGATGGCAGCTAACAGGAGAACATGAGAGTCACAGCTGAGGAGCACCATCACACACCTTGAAATGACAGATTACACCACAAGAAGTAGACGGACAGGCCCGGCAGGTGGCGTTGTGGTTAAGGGCACTGGACTCCCACGTGGACAGTGGTGGCTTGAGTCCTGGACCTGCCGGCTTGCTTTCTAGGGTGATTTCTCGCTTTCTGTCTCTCTGTCTCTCTCTGTCTTTCTGGCAAGTGCACATGCCCTATAGCAGAAACCTCTCCAAAAAAAGAAAGAAGTAGATGGTAAGGGAGAGGCGGAGCCTCAGAGTCCATGTCCATAAGTAGTGGCCAAAGAGGAACAGAAAAGGGGGTCCCAGAGCCAGCAACACCCTGCAGAGTGTCAAAGAGGAAGGACTGTCACACCTGCCACCTGCCGCAGGTCAGCACATCTGGATAGACACAAAGGCACTCAAGTTGCTATGGGAACTTGCAGTGGAAAGTCCACTGTGACTAATAAATACGACAGGTGTTTCTGCCAGGTCACCCCAGAACGCACCGTCGTACCTATCTCCTCGTATTAAACGTCCCCGTGACGGGCACCCGTCTGCTTCTCACCTCTCCCTTGTAAGAAGGATGCCCCGTCTGCATTGCCAGATTCTGCTTTCCTCCCATTACTTCCTGCATCTCTTCCCTACTAACAGCACCCTTGGGCTGTTAGTTGACTCATTTTTGCAGAGAAAAACACGTAATGACATTCCCAACAACCTCATAGATCCTTTTTGTAAAAAAAAAAATAACTATTTCATTTAACTTTATTTATCCATTCATTTATTTATTTATTTTAATTTGACCAGAGAGGGACAGAGTGAGAGAGAGAGTGAGAAAGCAAGCTGCCAGGTCCGGGACTTGAACCACAGTCAGCCATGTAGGAGTCCAGCACCCTTAACCACCAGCCCAAATAGATCCTTTTTAACATGACTTTTCTGATCATTTTTCATCTATAGCTGCAACTTAAAAAAAAAAATCTTTGCCAGAAGAGGCCAGCAGATGGCATCATGGTTTTGTCACTGGACTCCCACATGGTTTGAGTCCTGGACCTGGCAGCTTGGAACTCATGCCAGGCATGTATACATATGCATGCCCAATATCCCAAGAGGAGAATGGAGGAGAAGGGATTGTGGCATGACCAATGACCGTCACATGGAGGTGCAGGGGGTGGGGGGGCGTGATTTCTCACTTTCTGTTTCTCTGTCTCCCTCTGTCTCTCCTGCAAGCACATCTACCATATAGAAAAAAATCTCTAAAAGAAAAAAACTTTGCCAGAAGGTGCATGTGCTCTGTGGAGAGAAACGGGGTGGGCAAAGAACCACCTCCTATGGGGCCTGGTCACGCCCCAATCCTTTCTTCTCCATCTCCCTCCTTTGGGGAGTTTGGGCACACAGGAGCCCACTGTGTTTTTCAAGCCCCCAGGCCCAGTACTCCCGCCATGCAGTTAGCCAGGTGGGGTTCAGGTGACTTAACCACTATACCACGGGCTGGCCGAGCCCGACTTTCAACCTCTGCAACCTGGAAAGGACTTTACCTAAAACCGCCAATTGCTGAAATAAGGACTCAGCCCACTGAACTGCACTAGAACTTTCGGCCTGTCTCCAGAGCACCTCCCCTACCAAAAAAAAAAAAAAAAAAAAAAAAAAAAGATTTGGTTAAACACAGCAGGGTCAGAGAAGTACTATTTCCTTAATTTACTGCCTTTGGGGACAAACAGGTAGCACGGTAGTTAAGGCACTGGATTCCCAAGTGGCTGACTGCAGTTCAAGTCCTGCACCCTGCAGCTTGAAAATCACTCTGGACACACATACGTGTGTGCCCAAAATCCTGAGCAAATGGAGAAGGGATGGTGGCATGGCCATTCCACTAGGAGGTGACTTTTCACTTTCCCTCTCTCTTTCTCTGTCTCTCTCTGGTGAGTGCAAGTGCCTTAAAATAAAAACCTTTGAAAGCAAATGGCACTTTTGAATTAAACTTACAAGAGGGGAACCAGTGTTTGTTGGAGGTCGGTATCAGGAGCAGTGGGGTAGATGAGATGCCGTGTGCTCAAAGCTCTGGGTAGACTGGATGGACCCGAGGCATTTCCAGAGGAATGGACAAACTCCCTGCTTGTTCCTCTTCGCTTTTACTGGGTCCGAGGGTGGAAATGGCGGCTCGAAGCCTCTTTCTCTCCTATTATAAAATTCTTGCCCCACTCATTGAGTTCCCGTGTTAGTGAAAGGAAATGTGTTCCAGAAACAGAATCCATTCTGTAGTGTTTTCTCTTTTTCTCTGACAAAAGTAACCTGTATGGGGGTCAGCAGGTGGTGTGGTGGTTAAGGGTGCTGGACTCCCACATGGCCGACCATGGTTTGAGTCCTGGACCTGGTGGCTTGCTTTCTCACTTTCTCTCTTTCTCTCTTTCTGTCTCTCTCTCTCTCTCACTCTGTCCCTCCCCGGTAAAATGAAATAAATAAGTAAATAAATAGTTTAATAAAATAATTCTTAAAAATAGAAAAGTTGTGGGTATGTCCACACTTTAATAAATGAAGTTTATTTTGGTGCAAAACTTTTTGAAATCCATGCATATTTTTGAACCCCATAATTTGGGTCGTCAGAAAAGCCAGGATGTATTTCTTCTATGTGTAAATATGCCGTGACTTTCCAACAACCCAACATACACTACCCATGAACTGTCGAGACCAGTGTGTGCACGACCCTGCAGCATGGGCAAGCCTGAAGACAGTAGGCAGCCAGACACAAAGGCCACACGATGTTGGATTCTTTGTATGAAACTTCCAGAAAAGTCACATCTCAAACAGAGAGCAGATCAGTGCTGGCAAGGGATGGGGAGAGCTCAAATGGAAATGGGACAAAGGATTTTTGGGGGATGGTGGGAATGTGCCAAAACTGGATTGTGGAGAGGTCTACATACTTTATCGAGGCACTAAATTCACTGAGTTGTTCACTTCCGTATTTTATGTACAAACACATACATACAAGGGGTCTTTAGGGAGTTCATGGAAAACACGTATTACCAAAAAAATGGATTTCAACTTTTTTACACCA